CAACAAACAGCAGAGTATCAAAGAGAAGCATGGTAACACAGCTGGACCTTCCCTGCAAATTCCTGTGACAATTCATATATGTTGTTTATGTTGTACGTCTCCTGTCAAAGTTTCTTATGCTACGAGAACATGTATGTTTTTCTGGTTCTTGTGGGAATTTCGAGCCGTTTCTGTCGAAATTTCAACGGTCCAAACAGGGCTGCATAATGCAAATGCAGTATCTACACTAATGTTGTACGTCCTTAAATTGCTGTATTTTCATGTTTTTTTTGAAATAAAACATTCTTCCATGCTTTTTTTGAACCTGATGCTTTATTTTTTGAAATAAAACGTTCTTCCAGAGGCCGTTGCCTAGGGGCACTCTGTCTGTTTTTGTGCGGGTCCCACGTGCAGTGAGCGGCAGGCGGTGAGTGGAATGGAACTCGTCGCCGTCCTCGTCCAATCCAAACCGCAGCAGAGCTGAGCACGCTGTAGCCGAGAAACGCACACCACGGCACGATGCCGCACGCCGCGCTCCTCCGCCCGCTCATCCCGCCGCCTCTCGTCCCCGCGAGGCCGCTCGCCGCGCGATGCCGCCACCTTCGCGGCGTCCGCGGGAGGTGCGCCCCCGGCGAGGGCGCGGGCGAAGGCGCCCCCGGCGCGGAGTGGCTGAGCTCGGCGGTCGGGGAGAAGGTGGACGAGCTGCTGCGGCGCGAGGAGAACCGGGCGCTGCTGGACGGGGTCGAGGCCGCTGAGCGCCGCGTGGAGCTCGCCCGCGCCAAGCTCGCGGACATCGAGCGCCAGGAGGCCGCCGCCCGCCTCGCCACCGAGGAGGTCCGCCGCCTCGAGAGGCGCCGGGACGAGGTACGCGACATCATGCGCCGCGGCTGCACGTAACCTGTTCGATGCTTTGCCTGCTCGGCTCGACCAGTGGTGCTCTGGCGTTGCGTGGGTCACTCGTAGGAGGGCGACCATACGTGAGCGGCCAGTGGGCGGTACGTAGCACGGACCGCCACCGTCACCCTCAGCGCGCCGCTGCTTATTTCTGGCGCGATTCTACGCTACTGTGGATATGGACGTATGGTAGTACCGCTGCCTACCATGTCTCTACCATGTTTGGTGATCGCCGCTCTTGTGTTTGAACTAATGTGGCGCCGACGAACTTGAAGGACGATGAATGGTGCTCTTTAATTGGCCAAACAATAGAAGCTCTCAGTAGGCGCATGTGGTTCGTCAATGCAATGTGTGCCGTGCAGAGCGGTGGGACTGCGATAGACAGACTAGATGCAGGGAATGTGTGCCGTGCAATGCTTGAGTTTTATTTGCTCACAGACGAGAGAAGAACTTGTTGAGTCTAGATAGTTTTAAGAAGCCTGATGGGTGCCATATTAGCTTCTATCAGTAGACTTTTCCACCCTTTTTGGTTCAAGGCTTCAGGACGCCCTGTTGTTTGTTTGGTAAACTGAGATAATGAGATGCTTCCATTTCTTCTTCCAACATAAAGTACTAGTGGCATGTGCCATGTTCATGTGGTCCCGTGATGATGAAGCAGAATGATTTATTGGTTGTGATATCAACTTTATATGATCGTACAGTTCTGTGATCATCAAAATACCTTTCCTTCAATAGTCATAGGAAGACATCAGTTTTTTCTTGCTTGATGCATTTCTTCATAATATACTATATGTTTATAATGCTGCATTACTTAAACAAGATTGCAGAGTCACAGCGGGAATTGCTACAGGCAAGAGAAATGATTGATGAAGCACAGCGTACCTTGACTTCTAGCCTTGAGGATCGAAGCTTTTGGAATACGTCAGGTGGAGCAGATATCGATAAAGATAGTGAGAGGCTTGAATCTGCAAAAGCTGCAGCAATTTCCTCTATAATCGGTGTTCTGGCTAGTTTGCCCATATCTTCCTATGAAGTCCACAGTTTGCCCCAACTGTTTTTTCGATCATCGGTTGTTCTCATAAGTTGTGCATTGTTTGGAGTCACATTCCGGTATGCCGTTAGAAGAGATCTGGATAATATCCAGCTTAAAACGGGAGCTGCTGCCGCATTCGCTGTTGTTAGAGGTAAAACTAGATGATGACATTGCTAAAAACTTCTCGGCAAATATTCCTTTGCACGGTTATTTTCTTCACTGAAACTGAATTGCTTGCAGGTCTTGCGTTGTTGGAATCTGGGAGGCCCTTTGAGTTGAGCACTGATGCCTTAAAGTCACTTGCTCTTGATGGTGCAGTTAGTGTTGTTGGGAGCATTTTTATATTTCTGTCTTCTGCTATTGCACTGGACTATTGTTTTAAGATGAGATTTTTGAGCCCATTCCCTGCAAGGAAACAATAGGTTCTGTGAATAATCAGGAATGTCAACACATATATTGGCTACTGCATTGTAATATGTAATATTGCTGATTTCTTAGATTTATGATGGCAAATATTTCCCCGTGCAACCACCGTTTCCTCAAGTTTATCAAATAATGCTTTCTGTTTATTAGCTGTATCTTGTCTTGTTTCCTCAAATCTTATACTCCCTCTGTCCCAAAATAAGTGTCTTTGATATAGTACAACTTTGTTGTGTGCTTGAATTTTGCTTCCTTTGTATGTGTTCGTCCTGTATGATTGACTGGCCCCGAATGCAATTATTTGTTTCTGTTCCTCCCATATCATTGATCTTCGTCCCAGTGGAATATTTGATTTTCTCTTGAATTAAACGCTTACGATATCTGTTTCACAGGTTTCGCACCAGCCTTTTGTGAAATGTTGCACAACCTTGTATCCGGTTCTCAGTTCAAAAAGAAAAAGAAAAACTGGCATGTCCATGTATCAATCTTCATCTTTGCGCAGTGGGAATTCCCTACTCCTTATGATCGTCCAATGTTTTGAAATTCTAATGAAGAAGCAACATTGTGTGATAGCTTTCTTATTAATGCTATGTACAGTATTTGTCTACTACTGTTGTTCCATCCATTTCTTGATTGCTGTTGAGCAACTAGCTGCTGAACCGTGCTGAATTTTGATACAGTGTTATTCTGGTATTTCATAAAGCGCCAAGCTGGATGGAGCCTGGGGACATGTTATTGCATTACAAATATGGGTCCGCGTGAAGTTGCTACTGTAGATAGATGGATGTAGAACGGGCATTTCTGCTCTTGTGAGATTTGGCTACATGTACCTGGGGCTATCTTCATCCATCAAGGATTGTGGACGCAGCCTGTAACTGTTGAAAGTCGGAGCTTGCTGGCATTGCAAAGAAGACATGCATGTCTCAGCTCCATGCTGAATGGTGGTGCTGGTGGGGGATTGTGCAGAGAAAGCGTCTTATGAACCGTCATACGGACAAAGGTTACCTCTCGTGTTCTCTTGTATTATTATTTTGATGATAACCTGATCAAAGAGGTATTATCTTGCACGTATGGTTAATGTTGACCAGTTTTGGAGCAAACAGCCACACGTGGTCTGTCATGAGAACTTGTATGTGGTAAGCTAATTAGAGAGAGAGAACAAATGAAACCACCTATATGTTTGCCTCTTGCTATTGTATATGCAATGATTTTTTTCGAACCTGACCCTTGAAACTTCCTAACGTGTTTCAGCAGAAAATTTTCCCAATAGCTTGCACATATTTTCTTCATTTGCTTCAATATAAGGAATGCAAGATCAAACATCTCAGTTCATAGAACATGATTGCCTTGACATGGCATACAGCTTGAAAAAGGCACCAAAAACATCATCAACATTTGAATAGGAATTAGTCCCGAGGGAGGGATGGGGGTATTGGGGAGGGGCATTCTTACTCTTGTACCATCTAGGTTGAATGCAAAGTTGATATAGATCACTTGAGAAATTGTAGCAAAGAAAAGAGAATAAACAGTATTGACATCTAAAGATGTGGATATTAGCAACCTGCAACCGTACTATTACTTTTAAAAATGCAAGCAAAATACTGGGGACATGTGACCGAAATTCTGCCCACAAGTTATACGTATCTGCCAGCCATTAGCTGCCAATGTAGTTCTACACTGGGACTCGCTACTTGTCTATGCACTCTAATGCCATAATAAGTTATTGATGATTGCCAACTTGCAGGCTGTCTGCCTGTTACCAGTCATGCTCGGGCGATGACAGCCCATTGTGTGGCTACTGCTCTATGAACAATTAGTGTGACAGTTCACAAGCAGACCATACATCAAAACCCAAGTGAAAGCATCTGCATCTTACTGTTAGATAATAGACTTAGCTTTGCAATTTGCAAGAATCTTGAGAATAGAATATAAACAAAGTAAAGTGTATGAAGATGGAAACATCTCTTTGAAAAGCTAGCATGATGAAGATATCTGTACAGATGTCAAGCATCTGACTAACTAATGGATTTCAATTTAATCCGTACTCTGTCACGTGCTTAATCTGGATTTTGTAAGTTGTTAAAGAACAAAGACTATACTGGTCTAGTCCTGTCTGTGAGGAAAGCTCACCTACTCGGTCCATGCTATGGCCCTGAGGTGACTACTTCGTTAGAAGTTTGCATGATACCAGGAACCAATTAGATCTGATCGATTCTGTCAGTAGGGCTCCAGTATGCACATGCATCATGCCACAGTTTGGTGGTTGGATTATCTCTGAATCATCCACTACCTGTTGTGATTAGCGAGACTGACCTTTGCTTACCGGGAGAGTGCCACAGGTGTCCATATCCACCTCAGTGAAAGAATTTACTTCACTTGAGTCAGGCCAAGCCAGTTGCAACCAAAAGTCCATTCTTTTGTCTCCTGGACCATTCAATTATGAGACTGGTATGCTTATATAAAACCAGGCCTTGCATTTGAGGATCTGAGCTACTGTCTGGCTTTCACCTCTGACTCCAGATTGGCACTAGAGAGATGGCCCTAAAGGTATACATTTAACTCCTGCTGAGACACCGTTTGTCGGTGTATAGTGTATGCTGCAAAGTACAGGTCTTTGCAGTTTCTGCCTCTAAACTATGATTTAAGATTCAAGTCCCTGGTCCTGTATTCAGTGATGTTGCTAATGACCTATGTATTCTTATGGCATCACCAGGTGTTCAATTGGCTGAATCGGAAGATGCATTCCAATGCGGAGTACTGCACCATTGATGATAATAAGGGTAAGCATGTCAGGACTCTGGATACCTCCCTTTTATGCCTATCATGCATTTCTTTGTTCTTATTTATGTTGTCAACATTTTTTAATGGAACAGCCATGGAGAAGGAAGACTCTGTGCACGGGAGTGTGGCTGAGCAAGACACTGAAGCCCTGCTGCTCCGTGATGTGCTTCTTAATGGCATACTTGCGATTGGCACGCTTGGCCACAACGTGAACTCCCTTTGCCCTGAGGCCCGCCATGAACAAGATGAGTTCATCGTCATGGATGAAGAAAAGGTGGACCAAGAAAAGTGCGAAGAGGAAAAGTGTGAGGACAAAGAAGAGGCATTCGCTACAGCACCAAGTGCACCAGAACCTGCTACCGAACCTGCCAAGATGCATTCATCGTCGATGAAAGAATACAACTTCACGTGTTCTGTAAAGGAAGAAATCCTGATGTGTGAAGTTGAAGTGGAGGATGTCGCTAAAATCCAGGAACAACCACTTCTGATGGTAGAGAAGGTGGAAAAAGTGAGAACTACACTTGCTGATCTATTTGCAGCCGAAGCATTCTCACCAAGCGATACAGGGAAGGAGAGTCACCAGAAGACTGTCATTATTGCTGGGGCATCCACTTCAAAACCTACATTGTGCATGGAAAAGACACATAAAAAGAAGCCAATAAAGCCAATGCCAGATCCTCTGAAGGCTACGAGAAAATTAAGTCGAGTATGGCTTTCTTCGTCCCTATCTTTTATGTGTTGCAACTATGCTCATTTTATGGAAACATGGACATTAGTTCTTCTGCAAATTCATGTTAGCCTGTGATGTTACACTGCCTGTTACTTACCTAGAAGTGGTTCAAATTCACCACTTTACTCCATGGACATGACAGTGTTTTATATTTTGTTCATGTTTTTTTTTACCGGAAAGTAAACTTTATGCAGCTTAGCCTATCTTGATAACAAACAGTCACTAACCTGTCATCACCTGATGGTATTGGTCATCTGTGGGAATAAGTAGGTCGTGAAGAAGATGCTGGGGAAGAAGATCCACCCAGAGCAGCTCAGTGGACGTTGTAATGCAGAGGAACCTCCTCTGCTTGGTGCGTAGGCTCGCGGACAAGTTTGTTTTCTCTTATCTGGTAATCTACTATCTGGAATTTATTTCATCCGACCTTTGAATTATATATCAATGATGTACCCTTCTCAAGGGTCATCAAATCGACATGCATGGTGTCTTGTGGATGGTTTGTTTACCATTTCAAGGTTTCTTAAGATTTTCTTCCTCGGGCCCCAGTATTTATAATAAAATTATGCTATTTCTGTGACAGTTTTAGTGTAGAATGGGTCCCCTTGGTCAAGTATAGATTTGTTTATGGGCCCAACGACTAAGTCATGACATACGAATCACATTTGAAATAAAGAAACTGTGCATTGTTTAGACTTGCCCGTGGCAACACATTGGGATAATAGAACGTCTGAACACGTGAATTTTGCCAGCTTCAGTAAGGTGAATGGTAGCTTTAAGTAGAAAGGATGATGTGAGTTTGAGTGTCATTTTAATGCCACCGGTCAGGAAGATGATGTCCCATAGGAACAGAGTACTTTCATCATTCTGCGATCTCTTATTATCCAATCATGGAAGATCCTCTGTTAGGAAGAGCGACACGAGTTGATACTCCTGGGGACTACTCCTGGAGTAGTACCAAGGCATGGGGTAGTACTAAACTACTAATAGTAACACAGAGGCATTCCCTCCTTTAGGCCATGCCGCCAAGCTTTCTCGAGCACATGGCGCTGCCGAGTTGCGTGCCGCAGAGCACCACGCAACGGCGAGCCCAACGACGAGTACGGGCTGAAAATCGCTAGCAGACACACAACTGATACAGTCGGGGGCAGCCGGCTATGGGCTGGTACTACGATGCACAGAGCATGCAACCGTAGCGGACCTCCTGGCCATACAATACACGAACGTCTCTGTGGTCTATGCTCTTTTATCGCCTTGTGTCGTGGTATAGTTGAAGCTGTACAGATTTGATTGTGTGCAGATAGCAACTGAGATTGCTCTTTTGCTTTGCAGGATCATGTTACATTCCATTGGATCCCTACAGTGCCCCGGATCTGGATTCCGTTGCTGGAGAGAAGCATCCAACCACAACGTACTACGTTCGTCGACAATGTTTCCGTGCCTGATCAGCTGCCTGTTCGCCCGCCAGTGACGAAGAATAGCCTGCTGCCTATATCTATCTATCTATCTATCTATCTTGTCTATGTTAATTACATGTTGATTCGTGTGTAAAGCTAAAGCTAGCTACAGTTGCAGTGTCCTGTCCTGTAAGATTGATGTTCTCGTAGTACTGCCTGTCTCGTCGTCTCCGTGTGTCGGTATCAATAAACCCTCCGCTTTATCCACTCGCGTCGTCTGCATGGTACCGTCCCGTCAACACTTCTCGTTTATCTTCGCATGGATCATATCATTGATACCCGACAGAACCAAGCCGAAAACTGCCAAAACGGCAGCGGCATGGCCGCATGGGCACACGACGGTGATGATCAGTAACTGTAAAACAGGAAGCCACGCACCCATGAAGCTCTCGTCCCTCGGTCTTTCTGTATGAAAGAGAATGCCCTGTTGGAAATATCAGCACATTTTTAACTAATCTAATCCACGAGTATACAGTAAATATGACAAATCCGATATGCATCTCATACCGATATCTAAGCATGTGAGCACGTGTACATAGAAGCGAAACATCTATGAGTAGCATACATATGGCCAGCAGATGAATGAGCAAATAGGGGATGAATGGATCATACCCTTCGGTTGGCCAGGCCAACGTGGCAGCGGCAACATCGGCATCGGCCAAGACCTTCTTCTTGGCAGCTTCGTTGTCAGCCATGGAGTCGATGTCGGGGAAGTAGTGGAAGCAGAGGAGAACAGAGACGGGGACGGGTCAGGAGCAGTCGCGTAAGACGCTTCCCAAAAACCTTATTGCGTTCTCCCAGGCAGGACCACGAACAACAGGGTTTCGGAGGCACCTGCTCTCTCGACAAACCGTGCACGCGGTCGTCAGGATGGGATTGCCTGAAGCAGCATAGAAAGAGGAGCAATAGATGACGGCTAGGGTTATGCAAGAGGGAGTGTTAGGTCACTCCACTGGCCAGCGCCTTCTTATATAGGCCGTCGGGTAGATGGGCCTGGGCTCAGGCCCATGATCGAATCCCCAAACAACCCATGGTCCAAGTCTAAGGATATGAAATCGTAAATAGTGAAAAATTCTTGTCTTGCACGGTCTAAGCCTAAGGAAATACAAAAAAAATTGCTTATACAATTTCATCTACATCGAATTTATATATCAGAATAGCGGATAGAGGCATCATTAAAGGAGTCAGGTCTACATACTTTATGCTTCTTTCCAATTTTATGGTGGATTTGATAAGAACCCCTTTTGCTTTCTTGATAAATAATCGACAAAAAATGAAAATGTCCACGTTTGCTGGCTTATTTGGCAAAGAAGAATAGAGTATGTTATAAGAAGTTAACTGGTCAGTTGAATATTCTAAAGCAGTAATTTAATCATTCAAATATATTTTTCTTGTTTTATTTTTTTAGTAGTCTTATAGTAAATATGGCAGTAAACAGAGGCAGTACAAAAATATGTAAAGTATAAAAACGAGTCAAAGTGGATTGGCCCACATTAGCACTTCCGTGTAATAACTCCACTAAAGGCGATCCTATTATCGGAATGGCGTCAGGTACACCTATCGCAATTTTGACTGCCCAATAGCCAATTTGATCCTAAGGCAAAGAATAACCAGTTACACCAAATGATGCGGTCAAAACAGCCAAAACCACACATGTGACCCAAGTTAATTCACGGGATTTATGTAAAAAAGGGATCTATAGGGCACATTCAGGATATGCCTCTACTATAAAATCACTTAGTCATATTTTTTCTTCCTTTTGGTATTCGAATCGAAGAAGTACGAGAATTCTATAACTACCAAAAACTTTCGATCTTTCCATTGGAATAGTTTATTTAGTTATATAGTTAGTTGTTTTTGGTAATGAAAAAATATATTACTACTAGAATTCTAATTCTAGTAATTAAATTAATTAAACTTTTTTGGAGGTTGATAGTTTATTTACTGAGGAAGAGTCAATCCTTCTCTTCTCACTTCAAGATTGATCATCTCGGGCCATCCGTTGAGGGTGGAAATTTAAGAATAAATAAGTTTTAAGCAAACTTGTTTAGTCGTCTTTTTCAAACTATGTTTCATTCATATGATAGAATTTTAATATGGGTTTCAATAAATTGGATCTTGGCGGAGGCTTCGCGGATAAAAACTTATTTTCTTTTATCCATATTGCTCCATAGGTAGTAAGTTTTAATTAGTATAGAAAAACTAAACCAATGATTAGTCCTGCTATCTTAATTAGGTTCTAATTTAGTAGTATTCTCATTTTTATTTAATAGTCTTTTATTATTTTATTATTAAAGTTAAATAAAGGAAGAGCTATTTCTTTTTCTAGATATTCTAGAGAAAGCGAGACAAAGTGAAACGAGAAAGTTTCTTTGTATAAGAATTAGATCTACATACACCATATCATACAGAAATGTAACTCGGTATTCAAACAACTATTCGGAGTTCCTAGAGCTCCTTGTACGGCATGTTGGAAAACCCGCCGTCGGACCTGATTCATTGTCGTTTGTTTTTCAAAATAAAGGGTTTTGTTTTTAGACTTTCTAATTGTTCCAAACTAATATAAGCCTCAAATTATTTTTAGAAATTAAAGTAAGCATGCTATTCTAAATCAAAGTAATTTATTACATTCACAAAAAGGAGATAAAATGAGAAATCTTTGCCATCCAATCTGATAAGAATATCATAAAGTATAAGTGGTAGAATATTTTTGTAGGAATGTTTTATCAATTCATGAGATGGATGTGTTGCCACACGAGGAAGGATCAAGTCTGGAATGATGATATACAAGATAGAGTTGGGGTAGCACCAATTGAAGTGAAGCTTGTCCAACATCGTCCGAGATGGTTTGGGCATATTCAACGCAGGCTTCCAGAAGCTCCAATGCATAGAGAACGGCTAAGGCATGCGGAGAATGTCAAGAGAGGTCGGGGTAGACCGAATTTGACATGGGAGGAGTCCGTTAAGAGAGACCTAAAGGATTGGAGTATCACCAAAGAACCAACTATGGACAAGGGTGCGTGGAAGCTTGGTATCCATGTGCCAGAGCCATGAGTTGGTCGCGAGATCTTATATGTGTTTCACCTCTAGCCTACTCCAACTTGTTTGGGACTAAAGGCTTTCATATTCATATGTATGAAATAGATATATGAAGTACGTAGTGGACTTCCCTCCTCTTCTTCTCCTTAGCATTCAGGAAAGACAAGAAAATTTCAGGGTAGGAAATATTTTCTAGAATTTCTCGTAGATTCGAACCCATAGCTGATGATAGAACTAGAATAGATATCTTTTGTTTTACCAACACGGGGAGGAAGTCCCTTCTAAATTGGATTTGTTATTGTAAGGGGATTTTTAAGTATTTATCTAAAGAAAGGAACAAACAAGGATAAGATAAATTTGCTTTGCCTCTGACCATCAAATTAAATGTGAACAACCTGTCCTCCTCTTTGAAACAAGATGCGCTTTGGTTCTGTGCGTGCTTCAAACAATGTTGTCTTCTCCATATTACCATATCTCTAGAGTCAATAATTTTCTATGAGGAACTACTGAACTCAATCACTTGCTGCCGTTACTCAACAGTTTTCTGTTGAGGTCTATCCCGTAGAGGTAGTCAAATTGGATCAGTGGTCGATTTCTAGGTTTCGTTGTAAACCTAATTGGTTACTTCCAATTACGTAAATCAATAGTTCAAACTGCACTCAAAGGTAGGGCATTTTCCATTTATATAGGAACTTTTGGTAAACACAACGTAACTCACTCGATTCGTTAGAACAACTTCCATTGAGTCTCTGCACCTATCATTTTCCTTTGTATTCTAGTTCGAGAACCCCTTGTTTTCTCAAAACGCGGATTTGACTCGGGATTGCCTTCTTTAATTCCAGGGTTTCTTTGAATTTGGGGACTAGA